CCGTTCCCCCCGCTCCCCTGGTTTTATCTTCCCCCACCCCTCCCCCCTTCCTCGCGGGTCGCTCAGTTCCGATACCCGCGGCCCCGCGGCACTACACCTCCCCGACATAACTTTCGCATTAGCGGCGCGGCATGGCGAGGCGCGGCGGTGCTTTGCCAACCCCACTCCCGCTCGCCGACCGATGGGTTTGTTTCACTCGCGGCCGAATTGTTACAAACATTTGGTCCGGCGGCGTCCGCGGTGTCCCCGCCGGCACGGCGCTGTTGTCACATCCGCGGCCGCCGGCAGCGGGCGGGACGCGAGGATTGGAGGGGAACGTCTTGAGGCGCTGCGCTGGGTGGGGGCCCCCGCGGGCCGCGGGCCCAGAGAGAGGGGCCCAGGGGGGGCCCCGCTGGCCTGCGCGCGCAGTATCGAGCGCGTCTGCGCGTCCCCCACGTGCGCCTGGCGGGCGCGAGGGACGCGGGGAGGGAGAGCTCGGCACAATAGTGGGGCAGGTCTACAACAGCTGGGGCTCAGCGAGCGAGAGCCGCTGCTGCTCTAGGGCCGCTGCTCCCCCGCCACGCACGGCGCCGCCAAAGCCCTCTCTCTCTGTCCCGCTCACTCGAAATTTGTTTTTGTTTTGACTGCGTGGCGTGCATTGTGCGACCCCCTTGCAGTTAGTTTCGGCCTAGATCCCAGACGGATTGTCGATTTTTGCGTGCCGGCTTTTGCGCGGCCGTTTAGTGCGAGCGAGCCTTGGCGAGGAGCCCCCCGCTTGCTTCTGCTCGGGTCCGCGACCAAGTTCAATGCCAAAGGTGACATAACTCTTGCCTGCCCCGCCGCCGTCACCGCCACCTTGCCATCGATCTGACGTGTCTCTGCCAACCATTAACCGTCGCCCCTCTCTTTTTGTTGCAGGAACCGTCCCGATGCGATAATGCAGTCAACAGAGCGCGGGCCGTCCTCGGACAAACCCTGATCGTGAGTCGATGATGGATTTCCCCCGCGGCTGACGCCCGCCCCCGCCCAGGGCCCCCGTCAGCGTCAGGGTGACTGACACCGGCGGTGACCGCTCCGTGTTGCAGGCGGGAGGGCCATGGACAAGGACAATGACAAGGACCGCGGGGACAAGTTGGGAGGCTCGGGGACGGACCCGGCCTCGCTGCTGGACGCTGCCACGCTGTTCGGTGAGTGACTCGTCTGCGCGCCGCGTACAGTACTGCTGTACTCGGCGGACGCACTGTACTTTGTGATTGCAGCCAAGGTTGCCGCTGCTAGTAGAGCGCGCCCGTTTGAAATCTCCCGCCAAAAGATCGGAAGCGGAACTCTCGCCTACTCACTGTGTCTGACGCCGCACCTCTCTGCCCCACAGCGGCCCACTCCTTCCTCAGCGGGGCGGGCATGTCCGGCGGCTACGGCAACCACCTCGCGGGCCACCCGGCGCTCGCGGGCGCCTACGGCATGCTGGGCAGCGGCGGTGGTAGCAGCGGCCGCGGCTCCAACGCGGCGGCGGCCGCCGCAGCTGCGGCCTACGGCGGTCACTCGGCCAGCCACGGCAGCCACGGTAGCCATGGCAGCCACGGCGGCCACGGTGGTCATGGCAGTCACGGCAGCCACACCAGCCACGCGTCCACGCCCACCTCGGCGGCGGCCGCGTCCTACTCCAACCTGGGCACCCTGAGCGTGGCCGCGAGCCAGGCCGCGAGCCTGGGCATGAACCCGGCCAGCACGGCGGCGTGGTGGACCATGGCCGCGTCGCACCTGGCCGCCCAGGACTACCTTGCGCGGCTGCAGGCGCAGGCCAGTGGGCTGTCCTTCCCCGGGATGGGCCCGGAGAGCCTCATGTCGGGCTACTCAAGTCTCATGGGAGTGCCGCCCACCCAGCACCGTAAGTATGGGGACCATGGTCCTGGTCAGCTCGCTGTCGTTGTCTCGTGGCGTTGCGTTACAGACTTTGTCCTTTTCATGTTTGCAGACTCCTCTGGGGGGAAGAGCAGCAAGAGCTCCAAGAGCGCATCGGCGTCGAGTCTGCCGGTGCCGCCGTCGCTCTCCGTCTCGGCGACACACTCGTCCTCCAACTCCAGTTCGCACCGGAACCGCGACCGCGAGAGGGAGCGAGCAAGGGAAGCGGAGCGGGAGCGGGTGAGGGAAGTGGAGAGAGAACGGGAGAGGGAGCGAGAACGAGAGAGGGAGCGTGAGAGAGAACGGGAGCGCGAGCGTGAGAGGGAGAGGGAGAGAGATCGGGAGCGAGAACGGGAGCGAGAGAGAGAACAGGAGCAGCACAGCAATGCCGCCGCCCTGGCCGCTGCCGCCGCCGCCGCGCTGGGCGCCGCGCCACCGAATATGATGAAGTAAGTGATTAGGGCAAATTTGATGGTCATTTCCTGGATTGACGCACATTTTCTGACCTTTCTTTTCTTGTGTTGCAGTGATTCGGCCAGCATACTGGGTGGCGTGCGCCTGCCTCCTGACACGGAGATCATCAAGTACACGTCGTCCATAGTCGGCCCCAAGATTCCAGGAAACACGAACCGTGGACGAAAGAAAACCATCTCCCTTGATCCCCCGTCCGTCAGTGTCACCCCTACCCATTCGTCTACAGGACTTTTAATAGACCGCTATAAGAGGCCACTCCCGCCTCTAGACTCCGTTAGACCTTACGATAATCCGAACGCTCCCGCCAACGACCGGGACAGGGTCGAAGTTAGAAAATTACCTGCCCACAGCAACTCAAGCAACGGCACTTTAAACCTGTCGGGGAACAACCCGCGCTTCCCACCGGTGCCCGCCTCGGAAGGGGATGAGGCACCGCTGGACTTGTGTACGAAGCCCGCCGGCAAGAAGGAGGAGGGTGAGGACGGTGTCCAGGACCTGACCTCCCTCAACTTGAAGTCCAACAAGGCCGCAGCCGCAGTGCTGCAAGCTCAGATATCATCCCTCACTGCCCTTTCTGCCCTGGGAACACCCCCGCCTGCCCACGGTGACAGATCTTGTAAGTTTGCTGTTCACCGGTCGGCGGTGTCCTATACTCTACAACAATAGAGAGTGATCCACGTACCCCTACTCTTGTGTAGTTATACTGTACTGTGCTAGTAGTGGGCGACTAAATATGGTCCCGAACAATTAGACAACCCGCCCACGCACGTGTGTGGGGTACAGTATAACTATGAAAAAAGAAGGGGTTCGTCGACAACTCTACGTAACGTGAGTAGCGGTTTTTATTGAATTGACATTGGTTTTTCTTTTTTCAGCTCGCCGAAAACCTGGACCGAAACCGAAAAGGGTTCCACCTGCTGCACACAGCCCGATCTTGAGCCCGTCCACTACGCCGGGTGCTATCCCTCCAATGCTAGGGGTCCCTGGATCGCCCAGCGCGTCCCTTGCTCAGTTGTTCGCTGCGGCCGACTCGCGGCCCGAGGACTATGAAGCTACCCACCACAAGGATGGTAGGCCCCGTAACTTGGGCCGTGGCGTTTCCAAACCTAAGAAGAATACTGTTGCCTCCCTTCTAGCCCAAAGCCGAGCTTTGGGGATCAAGCCCTCTCCTAATATGGATTTAGAGGCGCAGTTCTCATTTCTTCGAAATTCCATGGCAGCGGTAGAAAAACAAAATGAGTTGAAAGGTAAGTTATGAGAAACATGATATGTACAGATTGTTTACAATTATTTAAATGTGTGAGTGTGTTTTAAAACCAGTTTTCTTTTCTTTTTAGAACGTGACACTGATGGTGAACACAGCAATTCTCATGATGGCAGCCAGGAACCTCATGAGGAGGAAAATGTAAATAACAAACCTGAAAGTGATAGTGCCGATGACACACAGCCCCAGGCACATGATGAAAAAAGTGAAGCACATTCTTCTGACGATGCTAGCAACAACAAAGTCTTAAATCCTGAACAAACTGAAAAATCTAGTGGTACACAAGAACCAGAACCAGTTACAAAAGAAACTGCAGAAGATACCTCACAATTAAATGATGTAGTCTGTCAACCTGAGGATGGATTAAAGCCAAGTGATATCAATAAAGAACCAAAGAATACAGTAAGTTGTATTAAAGAAACTATTTTTGTTGAGGGTTTTCATAAGGCACACTTAAGAATATGTCTTTCAAGAATAAATTTCAACTTTGTGCTTTTTCCATTTTAGGTGGATGGTGAACAATCTGGCTCAGAGAATGAATTTTCTTCTGAATCGGATGATGATTTAGATGATGGAAGTGGTGAACCTACTGCAAAGAAGAGGAAATTAGCTCCTTTTGATGAAAGGATCCTTCGTCTTCCTTTGGAGAGAGGATGGCGGCGAGAAACATTAATTCGTGGACTTAGTCGCTCCGGGTTGAGCATCAAAGGCGAGGTCACCTACATCACTCCTTGTAATCGTCGCTTCAAACAGTATCCTGAGCTTCTCAAGGTACATTAAAATTAGAATTTACAGTTCTAAATTGCAACCGATTAAAACCTCAAATTCAGACTCCTAAATGAAATAGATCAACATGTCCATTATAGCTTCCATTCAGTTCTGTGTAGCTATGATGTGCCTTTTGCCTTCATTTTCACTATAAATATTTTGTCTTTTTCTGTTTTAGCATTTGGCTGCTCTAGCTGTTGCTGCTGACCAGACTGCCACTGTACACCAACCATCATTGCCCCCTCTGACCCGTGAAAATTTTACTTTTTCCTCAAAAGTTGTTATTGGTGACTTTTTACAACCAACTGCTAATGATCAAACAGTTCGTTTGAGTGACACTGATGTGGCTAAGAGGTTAGAGGAACTTGTGGCAATGCGGGGGCTAACTGGCAGTCAGCACTCTAATGCACAAATGAGAGAACTGAAGTTACAACAAATGAAACAAGATAAAGAGGCTAAAGTAAAGGCTCGTGAAGAAGCAGCCAAGCAGAAGGAGCAACTCAGGTGAGGATACTGGATCATGATGAACTTGATCAGAATGACCTAATTGTAGGCATACATGTATCATTATGAGCAAAATCACAACTTAATTAGCCATTCTGTATCAATTTGAGAGACTTTTTAGGCAATCTGTTGTATTAAGTACCTCCCTGTTTTATATAGATTATTTTCATTTGGGTATGTGTATGAAACACATTTGTCTTGCTCTTACAAGTCCTACATTTAATCTATTCGTATTCTGTACCTATCAAGTTACACTTGAGCTTTCAGAAGTCTTTCTCCTTCTCTATTTTCACTTCAGAAGTTGAAAATTTGTTCTGTGGTATTCTGATACCTTTCTGAAAGGCCATTAGAATTATGTACATGTGTGCCATTTTGATGGCAGCATAGTATTTTTTATTATAGCTTTTTATAATTTTCTTCTTTTGTTTCTGCACATATTTTGCGTGCGTTTTACACATTTAATGTGTGATTTCTCTTTTTCAATTGACGTGATAGCAGTTGATTGTTGAATGGACCAAACTCATTCAATCTGTCTGCCCTTGTTTTACATCAATACAGAGGCTTTATTCATTTGTTTTATTCTTCATAAATTTATATACATATATATCTATATTTAATTAAAAACCAATCAAATTTGTTGGTTCATGGGACAGAAGTTAATGTTAAGTTGGCAGAAGTATTATTATTAATATTTAGTTGAAATTCAGGTTAGTTATCAAGTATTGCTGTTGGAAGTAAGATGCTGTGAGAAATTGCAATTGGACGGGTCCATTTACGATACATGTGTTCCAAAACAATTTGGTTTACTCTGAAAGCTGCAGAGCTGGCCTTGGAGTGCCTCTAATGGGGGTTTGCATGGAGTTTGGTTGGTGATGGCATCTTCTTGACAGTGTGTCGTCAATGAACCCCTCTCATAAACAAAACCAAAACCCACATTTTTTTTTTAAGAATGGTTATTTTTGAAATGCACTTGTTAAGAAATGCAGTTAGTCTACTTTGTTATAAGAACCATCCAAAATAGACTTGTTACCATTAGACTTTCTCATGAGTAATGCATGCCAGACTTATTACTTGATGCAAGTAATTATTATTTATTTTGGGGGAGGGGGGGATAGGCATCAAAGCTTATTTTGTATATCTCTAATGAGCTGAATGAGCCCATGTATATTGAATCAAAATAGTTTTTATTTGGTACATCAGTACTTTCAGTCAAAACATTAGTCTGTCTTTTATTTTGTCCAGTGGAAAGCACTTTGGAGGCAAAGAAAAAGTATGGGTTTTTTTAGGTTCCAATTTATTTGATTATTTGGGTCAATGCATTAGGTTTGATTTGATCAAATCACCTGGCTTCTTATTGAAGTGTTCTGCGTGCTTTTGTGAGTATTTCAAAATCTGTATATGCAGGCATCAATTTCAAAACCAAAGTCATATTTTTATGAGACTTACCAAGTCTCTGTACATTAAGTAAGTGCTGGCATTCTGGCTCAAATTTCAATGTTGCAAAGCTTCATCATTTGCATCTGCTTTAAGGAAAGTAATTTATGTGGGGAGTAAATATTCAGTTCTCAATTCATGTGCCACATCACACTTTTTGCATTGTGGTTGCTTTGCTGTCCCTTTAACTTCATTGGTTGACAATTAATATCAGTATTATTAGTGCATGAGTCAATTGTAGCAGCACTTTTAGTGCTTAACTCTTATCTCATTTCTCTTTCTTGTATAGATTTGTTGCCATTTAGTGTTCTTCTTTCAGTTATTTTGAAAGATGCTGTTGTATTCAAAGTATCTGGGAGTCCGTGATCTGGGTTTTTTATTTGTTATTGTTAGTAAATCCTACATTCCTCTTGTGGCTTTATTGTCACTTGTGAACTAAGTCAGTATTATTCATGAATCTCCTCTGAATACATGCAGTAGTTTCACATTGTTTTAGTATTCAGGTAATTTTATCATAAATATTGGAATGTAGCATTTAGTAACGAGAGGGAATACCTCATGTTGATCTCACAACTGCAATGTCTGCTTTGTCAGGACAAAGGCAACTTCTTAGGATTTCATCCAAGCAGTAATGAGGGGTACTATCTAGCAAAATGGTGCATATAAATCTTCAGGGAAGCACACTACTAATTCATGAGCAATTATGCTAGTTTTAGTGGCTTGTATGAAGCTAATAATATTTAGCCACTGTATTATCTGCTGTGCGATTGCACTCCATGTGTGTAACCAGCTGTACTTTGATGGGTAATAGAGGATTGTGCTCTTTCTTTACAATTTTAATTTATTCATCACATGAAATTTTAAGCAGTTTCTTTTGGTTTCTTTAATATTTGAGTGGGGACAGTTTTAGTTTGTAATGCACTTAAGTTCCTTGTCATGCCAAGCTCCCTCACCATAAGAAACAACACTTTACTCAGTTACGTTCCAACGTTTTAAGAAAAACAACTCTGACTTTTTTCTTATGCATTACCAGATTAGCTTGGCATTCAAATAGTAAATGTACTCTTTCACCTAGTATGGATAAATTTGGGTATACCTCACCAAAGCATTATTCCTATTTCAAAATTTTCCTAGTCTAGATTTTGAAGCTAACATTGGTTACTGAAGCCAAGTAATCTGGATTTAAGCTGTTAATTCAAAATTTGGTTCAGAATTGAAGGTTAAGCCTGTGTTTCATTTCTCTCAGGTCCCCTTTTTAGAATTTGAAGCTTCCTATTGTGTTGAAAGTAGAATTTTGCTTTGAGCATCTTTTGGAGTAGTGCCTCTGTCCCTCACAGAAAATGAATGTGGTTGTCATGCCAAACTGTAGAAAAGTCCCTCGCACAATGAGATATTGTGAGCTCTTGTGTATTGAAAGAGTATTTATTGATACACATATGATATATATATATTGACATATATAAATCTATTTATCATGCATTCCTATTTTATTATGTCAACAAAGTTTGTACCACAGATCTTATAACACAAAATGATTTAATAAATTAATATTCCTATTTGCTATTTGTGTTGTTTTTTTATCATAAGTGCTTGGCAAATGATCTTCCACCACACACAGTCCTTCATTGGGGAGTGAGCACTGCCTTATTATACTACACTGTTGCATAATTTAATTGGGCTGTACATGGAGTGCAATGCATGAATTTAAGATGTGCTTCAAAATGCTCTGAAGATAGTAAAGATAGAAGTGCAATAGGAGCTTCCAATTATTAACTGCATTAAGAAGTATAATTGCTCATGAGATTGTGTGCTTTGGGTCTTTAATTATTTTTTCTATGCATTAATATTTATTTTTACTGATTTGTTGTGAGAGTGTGACTGGCAAAAGTAAAG